AACTGCACAAAGTAACTTTCTTTAGACCATACGAACAAATACAAATAACATTTCTAAAAGAGTATCCTCACCCCCACCCACTCCCCTTCCGCAAACCCATCCTCAACAGTAGAGAAGAATGCATCAAATGAAATCTAAGTTGCTCGGACTCTTCAGTTTTGGTGCCGCGCCCGCGTCGACATGACATGGGTGTGGGATCCGTGTCCGATTTGGTCAACCGATTTTGGTCAAAGGTGAAATTGAAGAAAATTGAATACCTTTTATATAGAAATTTCTATGTCACTCTCTCTAACGAGTAAGAAATGCATAACAGGTTCTGTATGTGAAAGAAAAATTTGTCTTAAGTTGAACACCAAACAAAAGCTAATTTATATACTACATCTAAGCTAACTATTTTACTAAAACTTCTTTTTCGCAACACCAACACTAACAAACAACTAAGTGAAGCATGAAGAAAATGGTGAAGTCAATACTTATCAAAAACAGAAAAAGAAAGAGGCGAGGGGGATGAGAAAAGAAGCCTAGGCAAGTTAGGAGTGGAAACTCTACACTGTTTAGCAAAGGGTAGAAAGTACATAAAACAAGAGAAGAAAGAAAGAATCAACATCTATTAATTGGTCACCTTTTGAATAGATCAGTGCAAGAGAAGTGTAAGGACTTGTTTGGTAGTGGAAACACTTCATCTAGAAGGCAAAAGCTTAAGTTGTTAGAGAGGGGATACTTTTATCATTTATCAAGACGCCTCCTCAAATGTGGCTAGACTCTTTTTGCCTTTTGAAGGGAGGGAGGGTGGATGAAATTTGTTTGGATAAGGGTGGTGGTGATGTTTGAAAATAACCTCTCTCCCAGTTACAAAACAATACAACTGTTTTCCACTTTGTCTAGTGAGAATTGTTAAAACAATGGTAATTTTGATTTAAGAAAAGAGGGGTTTAAAAAGGCAACAAAGTACTCATGTTAGCACGGTCAAGCAAAACCTTAACAGCATCTTCTTGGCCGAGACCTGCAGCCCACATAAGTGGTATTCCAGCATCACTTTGCAAATCAACGTCTACACCCTTCGACAGTAACAATTTAACCAATTGAATATGTCCTGCAAACAAAGACAATAAAAATAAAATGTCATTCTATGTAAAGAAGGATAATAAATTGAAGAATGCATGTAGCTACACACATAACAGTATGCAGGACACCACTATAAATAACAATATAACAATTAGGCATGACATGCTGATTGATTTCTCTCATTGTTTTACCAATTAGGAGATTCAAAGGGTAGTAGGTTTTTTCAACACCATTGGGCAATTAAATGGACTGGAAAGGGGTCAAGACATTTTGTGGCGATTGGAGAATCAGTTTTAAGGTGTTGTGCATACAACTTCCACACCAATCAGCTTCAAAGTCAACAGCCATGGAGAGGAATCTGGAAGTCAAAAATCCCATATAAAGTGACATGTTTTGTCTGGTTATTAGCCAAAGAAGTTGTACTAACTGAAGACAACTTACAGAGCAGGGGAATAACATTAGGTTAACCATTTTTTTTCTACACTGCAAAATCACTGCTGATTATGGAGATTGATAATTCATGAATCTTAAGGATATGTCATGGACCATGAATGCCAAGATTACAGAAGCAATCCAGAGTTGGGAGGAACCAGGAAAGAAATCCAATAAAAAAGATAGACGGAGCATTATCCCAGCTAGTATATGGTGGGCAATATGGAAGGAATATAACTCTAGAGCTTTTGATAGTATGTAGAATAATTATGCAAAAATTCAGAGAATTGTCCCAGCTAGTATAAAGTGGGCAATATGGAAGAGAGCTCTTGATAGTATAGAGAACAGTATGCAAGAATTCAAACTAAATTGTCATATGCTACTATGATTTTGGTATAATAAGTTATACTCAAATGATATTATCTCCATAATTGATTTACTACACTCAATTTAGTAAAAAATAAAGAGGATTTGAAGTTCAAGTTGTAAATATTGGCCATTGTCTTTTGAATATACAAAGTTATCAGTTTCAAAAATAAAATAAAATTGCATATTCTATAATATGACATTTCTCAACACAGTCTTATCTTTTCATAGTCCTTAGTCCAAAACAACTTATGTCGGTTGAAAAGTCCATCAATTAATATCAAAGGATCAAAAATTTAAAAAATTTATTGACTTTTTTGTCTAACATTTTATCAAAAAATGTGGAACTCCCTAAATAGAAAAGTTCAATGTACAAGAGCTACAAGGTTACAGCAATTAAATGCATATGAACCCAGGACTCTTTCCCTGACACATATAGAAGCTTCAACCACTTCTACTAACAGAGAGGAACAACCTACTATTTCCTGCAACATTATGCAAAGCTGCCCCTGAGGTGCTGGGTGTTGCAGGATCTGCACCCTTTTCTATGAGGTACAGGACAGTAGCAGTGTGTCCTTCCCTAGCAGCGCAAAAGAACAGGAGTCTGACCTATGAAGAAATAATATATATTAAAAGCAATATCACTTTCAGCACATATCAATCAATCAGTCAACAAGAGCCTCAAATCTCACAAGTTGGAATCAGTAAATATAAATCCTACATATATTCCGCTGTATTTGAGTTTACCATTCCTATATTGGCAAATATATTGTCTTTCAAAGCAAGTTAAGGGTTTTCAACAACTTGAGGTCCCCTGAATTCATATGCTTGACATTACCAAGATTTAATGTAAATATACAACTAAAGCCTTGATCACAACAAACTAATCACCTATATGTATCATTTGCATCTATTGTTTTGTATTCTAGCCAAGTCCGTGTTAATTCTTAGAGATTTTAGATCTTTTGAGATAACTTCCCACTCTTGTTATTTTAAGTCAAAAGATCACTTCCCACTCCTGTTAGTTTAGTTTTACCCTGTCCCTTTTTAGCACCTTCAATTATCATAATGTCACACCTGCATAGGTTCACTTGGAGGCCTGCAAAGGACACAGTCAAACCATTACCAAAGTCCTTCTCACATGATCTAATTGAGGTGTTAATCTTGTGTGATTGCACATTGATTTGACATCGGCAGTTATACTATACTCATTTTCTTGACAAGTTGAGTGCATCAGAAGTTCAATAGTCATTCCCATACAATATTGTTGGTCTCACAACTATCCTCTAGAACTTGCCTTCCAATTGTTTCTAGTTAGGTGTATTTTTATTTTTTTTTGCATCAATTTTTTTGTATTCTAAACAAGAACACAATAGTAGAAAATACCTTCATCAATCTTCAACTCCTCCACCAAGTACTTGCACATCTTAAGTTGTCCTTCCGTAGCGGCAAAGTCAACGGCCCTCGTTCTTTACCATCCTTCACAGACGCCACGGTAGCAGCCAACCCTTTCCCACGATCCAGTCCCTTTGCCAATTCTGTTTCACAACCATCAACCGAGATCCATAATAAAAAAGGAAAATAGTGTTTTCAATTCTTGAAATTTGAAAACTTACTCTTGAAAATCTTAATATTCCCTGCACAAGCAGCCTCCATTAACGTCTTAACCTGTTGTTTAACTGTTCAAAACAATTTCAAGATTCATACATATGTTAAAATAACACAGTTGCAGTATTTGAAAAAGAATTGGAAGAATCAAAACCTTTATCAAGATGAGCATTAAGAAGCCTCGAGAATCTCTGGTTTCGTCTTCCATGACTGAAAACAGAGAGAAGAATTATGGGGTTTCGGTAGAAACTTGTGCACAGAAAAAATGGAAGAAGGGTTTTGCAAGCAGTTTGTGATCTTTTATATACCGAAAAGATACATGCACTTAAAATTTGGCGGAACTACATGGTGGGATTGTTATTAAATTACATCTTTACCCTCGTCACCTTGTTTGGATGACTATTACTTAAATTATATTATATTATATTATATCGTATTGTTTACATCAGTCACGCGGTAAAGACGGAAAAACTTATTTTATGTAACATCAGATTTGGTATGATCGCTTTATTACCTTAACATTTTTTTCTCATTTTGCCTTTATTTATTACTAGTAAAATTATGCTTGCTTTGCGCGGGAATTCAATATCACAAAATTGATAAAATAATACTTAAGACCTATCATTCGTTAAAACTAAACATTATATTATCTTACGTACTAGATTATGTAGTAACAAACATTAATTATGTAACAAAAAATGAAAATTATTACATTTTACTATCATTTATTCTTAATAACATAAGCATTAATTAATGAAGTAAAATTATGAACTATATTATCTTATCTATAAAACTATGCAGTAACACATTAATTATGTAAAGAAAAATAAAAATTGTTACATCTTATTATTTATCCTTAATAACATAAACATTAATTAATGATAGTAAAATACATACCATGAGTTGTAGCATAAGCAATGGTGTTTGAGTCACTCAACAGGAATAAAGTACACATATTTAATTGTAAAGAAAAAAAAGAGGTTCATATTATTTGTTGTTATAAAATGAGATATAAACTATAAAAGGTAGTGTGAACAAATATTTATTGTATCTTATTAGAAAGGTTACAACTATTTAGAAAAGTTGCAATTCTTCAAAAAGGTCATAACATTTCATGAAAATCATAATTTTTCATAGAAATCACAACTCTTCATTAAAATCAATTTTTTTTTTATAAATATCACAACTTTTCATGATGAAAGAAAGGCTAATTTTAAGATTAAATAAATTAAAAGAGAAACTTAATTTATGGTGGCGAACCCAAGATTCTCTTTTTATAATATAAGATGTGATATATATTTTAATAATTATATTTAATCTATTACCCTATTTTAATAATTATATTTCATCTATTACCCTATTTTTCATGGTAGTACTGCCGTATACCATCCATTTCTTATAGATTTATCATTCAACTTGATGTATGTCATTATGCAATAACAAAGAACGATACAATAAACATTATACCTACTAAAACAATACAATACCAACAATAACCATCCAAATAAAGTGAGGTAAAATCATTGAACTTGCATGAAATTAAAATAGATTAATTGGAAAAACACGATATAAGCAAATGAATATGATATTCATATTTTTTTTAAAAAAATTATCGAAATTTAATAATTTTTCAAATTATCGAATCTCTCTTTCTTCTTCTTCTTCTACAACCCCATCTCCACCATTATATAATCCATTTGGAACTATCCAAAAAAGGCATGCCCCATAATCAGCTTGCTCCAGCGAAAGTCTTGTCGCCCAGGAAAAAAGAAGCGGACAATTGTTCTCTCATTATGCGCTTTCTAACTCTAGGACGGCGAATCAACCTTGTTTGTGGCATGAACTTTTCTACCAGCCTCGACAGCTTCCCTGCAATCATATCAGTACCGCACGACAATGAGAAAAACATGGATATAGTAACTACTGCATCTGCTAAATGAAGAGCTTCAAGTCTCAACATGCACACCTGAAAGCAGTTACGAGTTCCATATTATCAGGGTTGATCTGTACACCCTCATAGAAAGCATTGGCTGCCTCTTCAAACCTCTGAAAATGAAATAATAGAATATCAGAAAATAGAGGTATACAATTTGACAAAATTTGACTCCGGGAGAAGAAGGGCATGCCTGCAATAGACGTAGAGCTGCACCTTCCCGATAACAACCTTTTGCCCAATCTGGTCTAAGTTCTCTGCAGGCCCTGGCATCACTTAAGGCGCGTTCAGCTTGGCCCAGGCGGAGCCAACAAAGACTTCTATTGGAAAACAGAGTGCCATCAGTTGGATCAAAATCGATTGCCTGCAGATTATTAGCAAACACAAGTGAGCCTCGTAAGTGATGCATCCACACTCATAATTAGTCTATTTCATATACTTGCAACATGAAGAAGATAATTACTTCCTCTCATCATTATCTTTTTTCTTTTTCCCTTTTGCAAGTATTTTACTGAGGAAAGGGTAGAGCTGGGAATTCAGGTCAATAAGACTAATAGGTACCTGCGTGTAAGTATCTATAGCTGTAGCAAAATCTTTCCTATTAAATGCCTCGTCTGCCCTCGCCTTTGCATCTGCAGCTTTCTTCTTTGCTTCAGGACTCACCTATAAACCAATTAATTATGCTGATGAAAAATATTTAGCACTGTTCTTTAAACTGATACTCCAAAACAAGATGTTGACCATGCTGAGGTTCTTCAAATGAAAGAGAGACCTAAGTAAAAACACAGTGTAAAAAAATATTGATCCTCTGTGCAATTTGAAGCCAGCTGAAACGGAAGTCTGGAACCACGTCACTGGTATGACTTCACTGACTATAAGAGAAACTTTATGCATTTTGAAGCCCTATGAAGTGTTTAACTGGGCCAGAACCACAAGCAAACATTGAACCGTTCCCACAACATTGTTCATTGGACTTATTGAAGACATTAATTTCATGCCCCCAAATGGTGTTTATCATGTTTTTTACTACATATACTTGCACAATCAAATTCCATTTGTTACCTAAATTGGATGTATTGTCATATTCACGATGAAAGTATTTTAAGTCTGTCTTCAAGAGTGCTTCACCAGAAGAAATCAAGATTCAAAGATAACATACACACAAGAAATATACATGCTCACTTTCTTCCATTCTCAGAAATGATTAACATACACACGAGAAATATATATGCTCACTTTCTTCCATTCTCAGAAATGGTTTACTTCGGTTCCCACTGATTGACATAATACAAAAAGGCAAAAAAAGGAAAAGGAGGTAGTTAATACTTTTCATGCAAAAATTGATAACGGAATGACCCAAAGCTCACACCTAAAAAAGAAAATAGTGAACACTAATAACAGACCTCAGGTAAATCTTTCTTTGGAATAATAGGTTCTCTTGACTTGTTTGCTTTCCTCCCAGCTTCTGCTCTTTCCTGGTATCATCACAGTTCAGACAAATAAAAAAGAAGTCGAAATTTGCATGAGAAGGGAAGGAAATAATCACCGAGCTAATTCCAATATTTGCAAGCAACTCTGACCGAAGACCAAGATCAGCAGCAATTTATCTTTAAAAAATCACAAATTAAGTACCTGTTCTCTCTTATATTCAGATTGCACAAACTCAATCACTCCATCCACACTCCATTCTGGAACACTCTGAATCCGTTCTGTGACAGGCAATAAAGCTTCAACAGCTTCCCTACTGCCGCTTGCAGCTGCAACTTGTATTGGCTTGGTACCATCCTGTAGAAATAGCAAAAGTAATACTTCGGTATCAATTAACAGTCCTTTGCTGAAATTGCTAATAGATCTTTTCTTCCAGCAACTTGTTCAAAAATTAACAAAGTTCATGATTGAAGTTCTGTGTTCACCCAGAAGAAAGTTCTGAATACCACGGAGAATCCATACGAGTATATGTTAAGTACAGAACCTGGGTCGCTGAATTACATCAGAATGGATCACACATACTAAGTTAAAGATACAGTAGACAAGGACAAAAAGAAGACTCCCAGGCCACTTCAAGTCACATCTATAGTGGTATCACGCATAATACACCAACTCTTTCATGTAGAGATGTCGGTTTTCACCGTAAAGAATGATGATCCAGAAGGAATGACACAATTGAGCATCAGCCTCCAGCAAACGGTAAACTGAAAATAAGTTACACAGACAAATTACTTAATGCACTTATAATACTAATCTTAGTTCTGCTAACAGTCAATGCATGGTATCATGTCTGATCCAGCAAAGCTAAGCACTCCCCCTACACTTTCTTCACTTAAATGTTCTGAACCCCAGATTAGACCAGTTGATCTGTCAACCCAAAAGAAACAGGTCACAGTTTACCTGAAAACCTGTCAGAGCGGAGAATCCACCAGTAAGACCAGAAAACCCATCGGATTGACTGTTATACAACAAAATGACCAGGTTTACAATTTCTTATAAAAGGTCGTTAAGAAACCAGAATTAGTAAAATACCTAAACCCTAATCTAGGTTTAATATGTTCTATGACTGACATTCCTCTTTTCAGCCAGGTATGTCTTATTTATCCCAGATATCTCTCTCTAGAGCTTTTCATATCCAAATGGTGAGAATCGCAGCAGTACTCTTCATTAATGCTCAACAATGGAGCAGAAAGGATATTCACCTTTAGAAGCAAGACAAGACTACAGTCCATATTATAAGATTCATGTCTTTTCTTTTCTCTCTCCTCTTTTTTTTTTTGGTGCGTGTGTGTGTGTGTATGTGAGTACACTGAGCCGGGTAACAAGCTTACACCATGGTAGATATAGGTTTTTTTGGTCGTAAAAAGAGAGGTTTCATTACTACGTAACAAAATGACAATAGGGAGCATGGTGTAACCTGGACACCACATTAGAACATAAGTACGGATGTCCAATACGGGTGCTCTAGAGGCCGGATCCTTCATGATCTAATTTTTAAGATCGGAGATACGGATCCATGTATGGATACAGGTGGGGTGATTCACCTAAAAATAATTAAAATATCTAAATATAGAGATATAAAACCTAAATTATGAGATATTATGTAGAAAACTCAAGAAGAATCCTAGAAGGAGATAAAAGGAAACGACGGAGTGAAATAGAAATTTTTAAGGTATTCCATTTTCTTCAATTTCACCTTAACTTTTGTATTGATTATAGAAATCATTAACTAGTCCCGACTTTCCCCATCGATTTTGGTTGAAGTACCCAAAACCGGTTGACCAAATCGGACGTGGATCCCATACCCATGTCATGCCGACACGGGTGAGGCACCAAAAGTGAAGAGTCCAAGCAACTTAGATTTGATCCATATTCTATGAAAAGATACTACATTGGAGAATGTGAAAGTATTGTATTATAAGGATTGCTTTTCTAATACAACAAATTTATGGTGTATATTTTTTAAAATTATTTATTTATGAAATATTCAATAACAAAAAATTGTGATACGCTTATGAAGTCAAAATAGAATTATCTCTCAACAAAATCATGAACGACTGACCCATAACACTAAGATTTTAGGTTTCCACTCCAAATCCGGGTTCACAAACATATCTTCAACTTCAAAAAACCCCGAGGAAAGATGGCCAAGGTACATAGATTCTACAAGGGAATCTGAAAAGGAATAAGAGGTAGTAGACTCAAAGTGATAACAAGGAATATAATTGACACGTTCTTGACAAACAGAAGCCACGAAAATAAAACTAAAATTATTTGGAATCAACTTTCCAACATTATAAAGAGTCCTTGGATATTTCTTCCAAAATATGTGAAATAATAAAGAACACTATATTCCTTTAGATTTTCTTTCAATTACCTCCTCAGCCGCATTCGGATCAGCTCCAGCTTGTAGTAAGCAGTTAATGACTCCTGCACTACCATTATGAGCAGCAATGAGCAAAGGAGTTGCATCACCAGTCCTAACATTGACATCAGCCCCTGCCTGTATGGTAGCATAAAAGAAGTTAAGCCTTGAGTAGACAGGCGGCATGCTTAACCAAGCAACATAGCAAAATCCAAACCAAAGTGGAAAATTGAAAAAGACAGTTTCAATAAGTGAAATAGATGGTCCCGCATACAACAGTTCCAATCTGGAGTAGCATATGCACAAATTGCTTTTCAGGGAGGAAATGAATTTTCTTTCTTTTTCCCTTTTTGGATAAGTAGATAGAAAAGATTGTTTTACACAATAAACCATCTTTGAATATGTAAGCAATGTTTCCTCCAGCATCTTGGATTAAGAACCAAACATGCCAGTTGTACTCTGTATCTTCAAGGGACTAAAAGTAGAACATGCGCAACTTCAAATGGAATCATCGGATAAAAAAGGAAGATCAAAGAAGAGCTTATAAACAGTAATTCTTTGGGAACAACATGATCATATATTATCTATTTCCTATTTTTTTATGACAAGAGAAACCCGCAGCCGCCACCCTTGGGTGCACGCATAGTAAAACATCCGCTCCTATACAATAGCTCGCAAACCATACACATGAGAGGTAACCCGCACTAAGCTAGCCTGGTTCGACGAGCTTGGCCCAGAAGCCAAACCACTTGCTTTTGCTAGCAAGGGGTTTCAAACTTAGAGACCTCCAATGGAAGTCCCAAAGTAGAGCCAAACACTCAGACTTTCAATTCCATTAACTTCTCCAATTGATTGAATTGGGCAATTTTTAATCCCTTTGCTTGTGAATATTCACAAATTCAACATAATTATTGATTGTCTCACTGCCTAATTACCAGTGTTGTTAAAAGCGCAAAAAAGCGCGCTTCAAAGCGAGGCGACCCTAGTGCGCTTTTTTAACTTGAGGCGAGGCGATTTGAAAAAAGCACTCGCTTCAGAGGAAGAAGCGAGAAGCGACGCTGAGGAAAAAGCGCAAAAAAACGTGCTTTTTATAAAAAAAGCGACAATTAGGGTTTTTTTAAAAAAAATAGGTATTTTTAAAAACAAATCTGAAATATAACTTCTCTCTCCTCACAACTCTTCTTTCCCTTCTCTCCTCGCGACTCTTTTTCCCTTCTCTCCTCGCGACTTTCTTTCCCTTCTCTCTCCTGAAGCTCTCGACTGAGGCTGCTGGCTGCCGCCCTTCTTTTTCTCGTGAAGATCTCGACTGAGGCTGCTGGCTGCCTCCCTTCTTTCTCTCCTCAAGATCTCGACTGAGGCTTGCAGGTAATTTGTTCATCTCTTTTTTCTTCTTCTTCTCTTCTTTTCTTCATCTCTATTCTCTGCTGCCTGCTCTTTTCTTCTTAGTTCTTACTGACTGCTACCTCTGTTTTTTTTTCAATTCTTTTGTTTTTTTTTATTTTGTGATCAGTGTGTATGCTAGCAGCCTTTTTTTATTATTTTCTGAAACTTCCTTTTGTTTGTAGTATTTTGTGATCTAATTATGTTTTTGATTTTTTGCTTTATATGTTATGACTTGTGAGTATTTTTGCCCAAGTAATTTCTTTCAATCTAAGACTATATTACCTCTTTTTAGTTATTTAATATTTTTTTATTTTTATACTAAATGTCGCTTTTTTTTAAAAAAGTGCGCGCTTCGCTTCACGCTTCTGTGAAGCAAGCCCTTGTCGCTTTTTTCCGCTTCTCGCTTCCCAAAACACTGCTAATTACTCATGTAATATGTTAAATTTGTATTGTTACTCCATACTTGATGGTAATGTAATTCTGTAAATAGTCAAATATAACATATTTTCACATGAAGGGGCCAAAAACACACATCTTGAATAATTGAATGTTAAATATCCCCAGTCTTATCACAAGGACCAAAAGCAAAATTTACCAATAACTTTGGTTTATATCAAAGAATAAATTGTATTAGCAATGGGAAAGAAAATATACATATACAAGAAGAATATAAAACAGTACAGAACCTTAAAAAAGATATGATTTCTATAAATGACAGCCAAGCTTCTAAGCAAGATTGATACATAATGTGAAGAAGATGATTCACATCTTCATGAAAGCTTCTACACATGATAGCCACGTGAAATGGAACACCAAAAATCTGGAGAAGTGTACTCTTACATACCTAGAAAATTCTAATAGTAGGACTTACAAAAAGATGCCATTATTCTCACTCCGCATTTTTGTACATCACGGCTAGCTGGTGAGGAACTTTTTCCTGAAGTGTCTTAACTAGACTGAAATTCCAAAACCTCACAATCTTGCAAGTTCCTCCTAAATCCTCAATTCCATATGAGTTTCTTAACCTTGGACCCTTTGAGTTCGTTGAATTGACATCTCCTTTTGGCATGAAACTATATACATATTTGTAAATGTACTTGTTCCCGCAGGTGTTGTATCTCTATAACGTATCCTACACCCATCACCTACCCTAAATGATACATAACCAAAGGACTCGTCCCACTCTTTCAAGATAGAACGATATTTTTAGCATCTCTTTTATAGTCAGATAATCTCATTTCTACCCTCTCAATCATCAGAACCTATAACTCTTTGGTCCTTATAAGATGCTACAAGTGATAGACCAAGATAAATAGTAGTAAGCACCCCCATCTTGCAATTACATTATTAACGACATTAATTACATTATTTTATTGGATCAAAACTAATTAAGCAATATTGAGCGTTTTTTATGTGTTTATCTACTATCTAAACTCCCTCCGAATTGTATGCTTTCGCTTTATCAATTTAAATAAGGTGTGGCTATGTTGACAAAGGTAGTTGGGTTCTTGCCTTGGCTTATGCCCCGACAAGTAAGGTGCACAATATTCATAAAACGATGTGGTCAAGAAATTTTTTCTATATTGGGCTTAACCAGTCATAAAGCTCTTAAGCAAAGCCTCTCCTACATCTCAGAAACAAAAAGAGAGAACTAAAAGAAAATCATTGAAATAAATGCAACATTGATGTGAGCTATTAACAACAATTGCAGATTTAACAAGCAGAGGAGATCAAACTTTGCTCCTCAAGTACTTTAGGAAACCATTTCCACAGAAAGGCAAAAGGTAAAGAAATGTTTGAATTACCTAATTAGATAAACCTGAAAGCTGAAGTCTAATTTAAGTCTAAGCTTTATATTGTAACATTGTGTTTTAAAAGGCTTGTTTCGCCTGTAAAATTGAGGTTAAAATATGTTAGTTTTGCTGGTAATAGTTTTTTCCTATAACTAGGAAATTTCGTATGACTAGTGGCGCAGATTCGAAACTCGGTGGATAATGAACCCACCCTTTTTACCCTTCACCACTTAATGCTGGTATAAACTGAATGTACACAAATTGAATATTTTCCCCTTTTATCTTTAGCAGTTTTACTTGTTTAATTTTCGAGGGGTATCTCTCAATTGTTCTATTCTTTTAAGCATGTTTAAACTTAACTTTCAAACAAATATTAAAAAGATAAAAAAAAACAGAATAGAAGTTAAGAGTTTCAGGAAAGAAAAACTCAGATAAAGAAGCAGATAGAAGTTAAAAGTTTCAGGAAAGAAAAACTCTAAGGGGTAATAGAGCCAAGTCTCACATAGCTCATATGATCAAAGCAGTTTCTTGTGGTTTAATCTTAGCACAAATCTTGCATGGTTCCAACACATAGCAGACGGCAGAGTGAAAATACATCAAACAAAAGCACTATATGTTTTCTGCAACACAACTTCTTCAGGATGCTCAATTGGATTCAGCAATTTAAAGTAGATAAAGTGAAGAAGTAGAACAATCTAATGAATATAGAAAAAATATAATTTATTGACCTTCACTAACAGCTCCACGCAAGGCAATGAATCGGTTGCTACAGCTGATACCAAAGGACAGACATTATTTTCATCTTCTGTTTGAGTATGAACCTGCACAAAGTAACTTTTTAGGCCAAATGAACAAATAGAGATACTCCCCCTGTTCTAATTTATAGGACTCACTTTCCTTTTTAGTTGGTCCCAAAAAGAAAGACATGCTTCTATTTTTAATAAACATTTAACTTTAAAATTTCCATTATACCTTAATGAAATGATTTATAGCAACAAACATCTATGACTTATTTTGGACCACAAATTTCAAAAGCCATTTTTTCTTTTCTTAAACTTCGTGTCAAGTAAAACTACATCACATAAACTACAAAAGGAGTGCATCAACATTGGAGGGGGGGAGGGGGAGGAATTGGGTTTTCCAAATATTATCAATACATGCCCTCTCTAACAAGTAAAAAATGCAAAACAGGGGCTGTATGCAATATAGAATTGATCTAATTTAACTTATGAAAGAAAATTTATCTTTAGTTGAATCAACTAATCAAGAATTGTTGTTTACAGTATATACTATATCTAAGCTAACTCTTTTTTCTTTGGGACGGGTGACTTCATATATTTCTCACAAACAGTACATAAGTATGCACTGAAAACCAAATTTACATAATTTTACTTCAAAATCCTGCTAACTCCTACCTAAATTGTCAATTATGGAGATAATGTCATTTGAATAGATTTGATTACACCAAAAACATAGTAGCAAAAGGTACTTTAGCTTAACCTTTTGCATACTATTCTCCATGCTATCAAAACAACGATAGCATTCCCTTTTTTGAGAATTAAACATCTATAGCATTCCTCTCCTTGCAAATTGTCCAACAGATACAAACAGGAACAGTTCTCCATATATCTAAGCTAACTTCTTTTTTTGCAACACAAACATTAAAAAACAACTAAGGGTGTGTATGGTAGCAAGGAAATGTTCTCCCCGAAAATCTTTTCTAGGAAAATAAATGGGTTTCTTATTTATTTTTTTGTGTTCGGTATATAGGCAAAAATACTATCCTAAAACTATTTATATATAATCTAAACAAATACTATGAGAGATGAGAGTTGGATGATGAGGGTGGGGTTACGACAGTGAGGGGGTGAAGTTGAGGTGTGTTGAACGGTGGATAGGAAAGTGGAAGTGGAGATGGGGCTACAGAGATGTGGGAGTGAAGATGAGGTGTATTGAAGGGTGTAGAGGGGAGTGGAATGCCAGGGTAGAACTAGTTTTTCTTACTTCCATTTAGAAAGTCATTTTCCTCATTTTTAAACAACTTATTTTTCTAAAGAAAATATTTTCTAAAAACTTTGACCATCTAAACATGAACAAATTGGAAAACATTTTCCCAAAAATATGTTCCTCCATACTAAACACGCCCTAACTGGAACTAAAGCATGAAAGATGATAGTCAAATTGAGCCAAATTTTTTTGTAATTATTTTTATCAAATACAGAAAAAAGATAAGAGGGGAGTGGGTGAGAGAAAAAGAGTGGGCAGGTTGGGAGTGGAAACTCTACACTGTATTAGGCTGCCATGGCGGTTTAGAAAATGCACCACCTTGGCTAGCCGTTAAAAATGTGTTAGATGAAAAAAGAGAAGGGATGGGTTTTTTTAAAGGTTGATGAATTTTTTATGGCTTTATTGTATTGACAAAAAAACAGTTAAACAATAACTGGTATTGTTAAATTGAGAAAGAGGGGTTCAAATAGGTAATAAAGCACTCACATTAGCATGATGTTCCAGCAAAACCTTGACAACCTCTTCCTGGCCGAAACCTGCAGCCCACATAAGCGGTGTTCCAGCCTCACTTTGTAAATCAACATCTACACCCTTTGACAGTAACAACTTAACCAATTCAACATGTCCTGCAAACAGAGACAATGCACAATGAAGTGTCCCTCTATGTAAAGAAATACAAATAAATTGAAGAGTGCATGTTACTACACACATCAACACCACAATAAATAACAATAAAGCAATAAGGAATGACATGTCGATTGATTTCTCTCATTGTTTTACCAATAGAGAAGTTAAAGCTGACACTAAGACCTCAACTACTGATATCCATCATAACGATCTGAACTACTGATATCCATCAGAACGATCTTGACTACTGATATCCATCAGAACATGATTAGATCCCTGATTCAGACTATGTGCCAACAAGGTGGATAAGGTAAAAGTGTTCCATTCATAAACATGGCCAAGTTGGACGTATACAAGGGATAAACCAAAAGGTACAGAATCTACAAAATATGATTCTCTACAAAATTCTGCAAATATATTTCAGGAGAATTTGTGGAATTTCCTTTCACATGTGTTTCTGTTCTTGACACCCCACTCCATTCACATTCATACTACTTAGAAGAAAAGGAAAAAAAAGAAAATGTTAGGATTAAGTGAAAAGGATGTGGCAGAACAGATAGGCTTATGATGATTAAAAAATTGCAGCAGAGATCCCCACAGGCTATCATCAGTCTGCCTCTTTGTGAATTCTGTAATAGTGAGTACTCAATTGCATGCAGGTAATCATGTTCTCCATTCAAGCATAGTTTCTACTCGTGCACCTCCTTTCTAAAGTCTTCTGTAATATTCATGCATCCTTTATATAGCCCCAAAAATTCAGATCAAGCCAAAAAAATACACTTCTCTGAGATTCATATATCAGATAACAAAATCCAAGTATCAGCCCATCAAACTTCCGTCACTTAGCGTAAAGAAACAGCTATCTTCAATTGTCTTCTTATTCATCATGTCAAGTAAAACGAATGGATTCAAAGTAAAAATGGAGGGAGCAGCTTATAATAGCAACAGAGCTATGCTCTACAATGAACACGGTTGCTGAAATAGTAGATCCACTTTCTCAGATTCCGGCCATTTAGAGTTTTTCTTTAGAAACAAGAGTTTTATCCAGGAAAAATATAACTGCACATGCATCCTTTGATATAATGGGGAGGAGAAGTTGGACTTTTTCCAGCCAGCAAAGCTACTCTTGCTTGTCTTCAAGCTTCAACAGCTTGGGGAAAAAAAATCTTCCTATCAATCATGATATATTGAGATGAAGACATCTCATAACGTGTTTGTTATGAACACAGCAAAGGCTAGTTATATGACCAACAATCCAAATTTTATGTTCCTCGTAGGGTTAACTTAGACTGATCTTCTTAGTAATACACTTTCATCAGTAGATAAGAACAAACAAATGAGACACGGAAGTATAGACAGCTTCATTACAACATCTTCAGCTATATAGTGATTTAATTCTCATAATAACAATATCAGCTAACGTTTTTGAGTTATGTCGGCTCTTTAAAGCTCTAGAAATCTAGGGTTATTTCAAGTCATCAATTGAGAACAAATGATGTAGCATTGACAGAGGGAAGGAAAAGAAAAGATGATGAAGCAAGAAATGTCAAATGTTCCAACAAATAGAGGATAAAGTTTGGTTTTCAACAGCTGAAAGTATAAATGTGACCTGAAAGGCTGAAAAGTGTGAAGCAAATAGAAAACATAGCATACCCCGCCCTATCCATCTCTGCTTCTTACTGCTGATCCTAGCCTTATTTCCTTGCCTTATCTTATTAGCTTATGATAAGAACTTTGACCAGTTCATTGAAGGGATTTGGTTCTTAATTTTTACTCCCAAAACATGACTAACTATACTATTATTAAGTATTCAATAATAATGTCAACTTCGCTAAAAAGGAAATTTGCACATTATATACTATGACAAATTCTCAATACAATTTTCTCTTTCATATTCCTAACATCCAAAACAATTTCTATGCCCCAAAAGTTCCATCAATTAATATTAAACTAAAGAATTTAAATATATATATATACATATACATATATATACATATATATATATACATATATGTGTGTGTGTGTGTGCGCGCGCGCGCGTGTGCGCGCATTGACATGTTTGTCAAACATTTTTATTTAAAAATGAGGAACTCCTTAAATAGAAGAGTTCAGTGTACAAGAGCAAAAAAGTTACAGCAATTAAATGCATATGAATCCAGGAGTCTTTCACTGGCACAAACAGAAGCTTCAATCACTTCTATTAACAAAAGAGGAAGAACCTACCATTTCCTGCAGCATGATGCAAAGCTGTTGCCCCCGAGGCGCTGGGTATTGCAGGATCTGCACCCTGTTCCAAGAGGTACTGGACAGTAGTAGTGTGCCCTTGCCTAGCAGCATGAAGAAGAGGAGTCTCACCTACGATGAACAACATATCCAAATCAGTATACAGAAATATCACTTTCAGCACATATTAATCAACCAATAAATAAGAGCCTCAAAATCAAATAAATTGGGAGCAATAATGTGAATCCTCCATATGTTCTGCTGTATTTGAGTCCACCTAAATTAGTGTTACATATAGGTATTATTTGCATCTATTGTTTTGTATGTATTCCCAAGTTCGCATTGATTCTTTGATATTTTAGGTCATTTGAGATAACTCCCGCCCTTGTAATTTTAGCACTTCAATCATCATACTATCACACTTGCATACAAATTTATTACTGTAGTTTAGAAAATACCTTCATCATCTTTTTCATTGACATCAATTTTCAACTCTTCCACCAAATACTTGCACAATTCAATCTTGCCTTCCCTGGCGGCAAAAATCAATGCCCCTCTTTTATTACCATCCTTCACATCCGCCACTGTACCAGCCAACCCTTTTCCATCATCCAGTTGCTTTGCCAACTCTGTTTCACAATCATCAACACTATATAACATCGCATAAACTGAAACCCTTAAAATAAAACAGGAAATTGTTAACTTACTCTTGAAAAGCTCAATATCCCCTGAACAAGCCGCCTTCAAAAACTTATTAACTTTTTCTCTAACTGCTCAAAAAATTTCAACACACACATATATGAAAAAAAAACAAGAAGGTTTACAGTAAACTTCAAGAAAGGAAAAAGAAGTTAAAAAAAAAGATCAAAACCTGCAAGAGCATCAGTAGCATCAGGAGCCATAACTGAGAGACGATAGTACTAGTAATTTTTCTTCTACTTTAGGCTTCGCTAGAAACTTCTAGTACTTATACAACGAGACCTAACAAGGGTTTTTCCAAGTTTGACTTTTAGTCAACTCAAATGTCGAATAAGCTAGTTGTTCACTTTTTTTTTTTATTCTTTTAAGTTGCGTCTAATTATTTGTCGATTTAGATACAATTTAAAAAAAATATAAAATAAAATACTTAATGAATTTATAGTAACAATAATTATTTTCTTAATATTTATATCAATTCAGTAGACAAGTAATTAGGAATAGTATTTAATTTGATTTTATTTATATTTTCTTGATGATCAATATATTTGATCTCCAAGAATTTTATTTATTAATATAAAGATGGACCATTCCACTACTTCGGTTTAAACATTGAAAAAATTATTTAGATTGATACCTTTTAATAAATAATTATTAATTTTGATGATATTTTTATTCATCAACATTTATAAAATATATTATGTTAAATTTGTAAAATGAATTAAAATTGAATTATTTATTCAATAAATATGTATTAATATTATTTCTAGAAATATATTATGCTTATTTTGTTAGAAATTAACACATTGTAAGTGTATTAAAATGTGTGAAAAATGTATTAATCATTAGTAAAACTTGTATTATATGTGAGTAATAAATTGTTCTTTATAATATGAATTAAAACCATATTATAAATTTATCAAAATTAATCAAATAAAAGAAAATATTTTTACTATAAATCGTAAATATTTTCTTAATATAATATATTTATATAAATTTACCTTGAATATTTTCATTTAATAATGTATTATTAAAAGAAGAAAAAATCAAATATGAATTAAGTACTTTTGTAGTGAGCTAGTCTAGAACTCATTATTGTTAAGAGGATGAACATAAATTAAATTTCCATGACTAAATATAATAAGTTAATAACTTGGTCCAGATTAAAGAGGAGTTTTCCAAGCAAAAGATCTTAGTCTATTAATTTTTTTTCATCAAACGTTTGATGTTGCGATTTTTTTGAAAAATTGCGATTATTATGAAAAATTATGACTTTTATAAAAAGTTATGATTATTATGAAAAGTTGTGACTTTTATGTGACATTTCCAAAAAATTGTAACTTTTCCAAAAGTTTGTGACCTTTCCACAAATTTGGGATACTAGAAGAGAATAATTTCCTTAATGGGACACTATGCATTCAGTGGGCTTGATCTTCTTTCTGTTATTCCAGATTCTGGTATGTGTTACAAATTATAGATTTGTGAATTAATTTCTATTCTTCTATTCTTTTGTTATTTACTGGTTCATTAAACTTTGGTAACTTTGTATTTCTGCAAAGTTTGTTAGAATCAGTAAGATTTTTTAGACACATATTAACAACAATTCTTCTTTAAGAAAAATATTTCGTATATCTTTGTTTAGGTTCTAGACCTTTCCAAAAGATTGTGACTTTTCCAAAGGTTTGTGACTTTTCCGATAAGGCACAATAATAACATTTTCACACTACCCTTTGTTTTCTATAAATTGAGGGATTTCCTCTCATTTTAAGAAAGATTTTTCTGAACTTCTTCTTCTACTACTAAATCTAATATTCTAAGTGTACTTTACTGCCGTTGAGTGGCTCGCTGACACCAGCGTTTTCGATATCAATACACTGGTGATTGAGATCATTCTATCCTGGGAGGACATATATCAAATCAAATCTCGGATACTAGAGGGGAATAATTTCCTTAGGGGACACTGTGTATTCAATGGACTTGATCTTCTTTCTGTTACTCCAGATTTTGGTATGTGTTACAAATTTTAGATTTGTGAATTAATTTTTGTTCTTCTATTCTTTTGTTCTTCATTGGTTCATTAAACTTTGATAACTTTGTGTTTCTGCAAAGTTTGTTGGAATCAGTAAGATTCTTTAAACACATATTAACAACAATTCTTCTTTAAGAAAAATATTTCGTATATTTTTTCTAATCTGTTTATGATTCTAGTTTCGCTACTAGTTTTAATTTTCAAATTGTGAAAATATTATTAAACTTTGTTATCTTACAAAATTGTTTAAAATTTTGTTCTAAGTATATTAGGAATACATGATGAATAACAATTATTATTGGTTAGCAAACTTCCATAGAGTGACAGTGGAAATAAATTATAAGGAAAATAAGCTCTTTTTTACATTATCGAATCAAATAAAAAGACAATAACAAACATTTGTTTATCTACATAAACAACAATTGAAAATACTTTTTTTTTAATAAAAAGAAGAAGCAATCATCAATAAAGGTCAAAATACACCAACAACGAATAAAATTATTTACATATCAATACCGTATGTAACTTATATCCTTTGTTGCCTCAATTAACTAAATTGAGAATCAACATAACTAGTGGTGAAATTGACCGCCTACAACTATGTGGCTCTGTTTGATCATTTGGCGCATGAGTCTCAGTCCATCCTCAAAAGTCATGACTATATTTCAGAGACGGACACGGGATCTGAGTCGATCGATACGATGGAAATGAAATTAATTTTTTTATAGTCAAAAAACATGGCGTTTAATTTCATCACTACCCTTTCAACTTCAATAAGACTGCTTGACAGAACAAGCCACTGCCTGCGCCCAATGCCTCAACTTTGTCTTAACTTGTTGAGGATCATCACCTACACAACATTTATATAAATATTTTTTTTTAAAAAAATCGTTTATTTTTTAAGATGAAATAGTGTACAATTTAATATACCTGGGCTATAAATCTTCCATGCATCGACATGATCACTCCTAGGGCTTCCAAAAGAGGATGACCTTCCTCCTAGAGAATTCAATGAACCCGGAGATGACATTGATCCTTTATTGCTACCCGGTGAAGAGACAGGGCTAGTTAAATACTGACGATTCACCGCGAAATAAAGATCAAGAGCGGGCAAGGTGTTACATAACCTTTGCCCTTCTTCTTCATTAAATCCAAATCCTAAATCTATGCAACCTTTAAGTTCATTCAAATCTTCATCAGTTATATATGCATCCATGTCTTGAGTACTTCCAGTAATATTCTTTTTCCTCTCTTGATGAAGAAACTGACGACGTCGTTTCTCCCATGCAATGTCACGTGGAATCTCACACATGGAAAGTTGCTTTGATAACCTTTTATTAGGGTTCCTCCAAAAAGGTGGTGCATCTTCTAAACGTTGTAATTCGTCACATTGATCTGATAATTCACTAGACGATGATGAAGATATATGTTTTTCATGATTTGGACGAGGAACCTTAATATCTCCCATCTCAGATATTCAGATCAACAATTAATTGTTTTTTTTTTAACAACAACAACAACAACAAATAGCGTAAGAAAATTTTCACAACAATGATTATACAAATTACGTTATAATCAGATTTCTAAGGTTGATGGACGTTAGAATAGGCTGCCATGGCGGTTTAGAAAATTCACCGCCTTGGCTAGCCGTTAAAAATGTGTTAGATGAAATAAAAAGGAGAGAGGGATGATTTTTTTTATATTTTTTTTAAGGTTGATGAAATTTTTATGGCTTTATTGTATTGTAAAAAGGGAAATGGGATGCAGGTTTAGGAAGAGTTTAATGGGGGATTACTAAAGGATAACCATTATTTGCGGTTCTTCCATTAATTTGTAACAGTTATAATAACCAAAGAAAAAAATTGTTGTTTATAATAAGAAAAATGATGACTTGTTGGTTATGAAAAGAAAAAAAAGATTCTTGTCAATTGTCATGATTGTTATATATAGTAATTACTCTTTTTATGTTGGATTGAAGAATATATATATTTTTGGACTAATTATAGTTTACTAGACCACTTTCTACCATTATTACAAAATTTTAAACTTTTTAAATGGTTAATTTAACTAAACAGCAGGCCTCTTATATTTGAGCCTCGATTGATTTTTAATTTTCGTCTTTTTACAAACCAACTATTGAAAGTTGCATCAATGACGAGATGAAGGTTCAATATAATTCCCAGCGAGACAGAAAAATGTCTTAAATATAGAGTCAGTTACCCGATATCTGTAGTAGGTTGTGGACTAGTTGAACTCCGCACAAGCTGGCCCAAACACGGCCATTATATGAGAAACATGAAGCTGATATACCCTTTATATTGAGCCAAAAAACCGATGTTTCATTGCCAGAAACTCGGAATGTAAAAGCTTTAGAAATCAAGATACCAGTCATAATGCTAAGCTTATTCACTAGATTAACTATTAGAAACAACATTCTGCCATTATCAAGCTTCATCATCAAAGATCAATGGAGGAAACAGTAAGCACTTCATAATTTGTAAGCAGTTCAAACTGCCACTGCCAACTTTCCAGAAATGCACAATGGTGCCAACAGTCCACCATATCTGCTTTAACTCTTTAGGAACCACCTGCTACTGCCAACTTCCCATTAACTCCTTTACATAACAAGGCGTGAATCACCAACGTAATACGTTTAAAAGGGTGCTCAACTGATTCCTGATTTTTTAGACACAGATAACATCTGGTGCATACGACTAAACCTAGCTTCTGCTATTTATTCTGAGTTGCCATCCACCCAAAGCAAGCTACCATAACAGGAGCTTGACGTCTTCCATATCATCTTCCAGTGCCAACAAGCAATTCTTAACTGAAAATTTTTATAGGGTTTTTCACTTCTACAAGGGCTTGCCAAAAGGAAACAGAAGAACGAAAGAAGACAAGTGCTTACAATTGACACACCCAGAGAAGGTGGCCTAGTAGTCACTGAAGCGGGATCAGTAATCATGGGAGAGCACTACAAGAGTTCAATTCCCAGTAAGTACCAAAAAATGTCTTACATCTTGGTATATAGAGTAAGTTAGCTGGTACCTGTAGGAGGTAGCAGGTGGTAGACTAGTCGAGTAGCGCCCAAACTGGCCCAAACACCACCGTCATATGAAAAAACACGTGCTTAGTAATAGAGGGGGGATTCTATTTGCCATGACCAGCTGCTTCAGTTCATGACTCAGACTCACTCCTCAAACCTGT